CTATCTTTCCTTTTGGTGTAAAAAATCAAAGGAAATAGCAAACCTGTTGTTAGCATCCGCAAGCCACTGGATGTGTTCACCGAGGCTCCACTGAGCGTCGTTCCTTGCTTTCTCCAGATTGTGCAGCTCATCCTCTTTCTCCGATAATTGTTCTTGGAGAGCTGATACTGTTTCTTGCAGTGTGCTAAAAATGCTCATTGAGAGTAACTAGTGATGAAGGCAATTCTAGTCAAACCCGTCCTTATTAATAAATTAGATTCAGCTCTGAAACCCATCGGACTACCCTGCTCCTCCTTTTCTTTGTTTTCTTTTTTCTTGACATTTTCTCATCGGTCTTTAACTAATATTTGATAAAACTAAAAATCTTTCTGCTGTTCTTTAATTTCATGAATAGACAAAATTGCAGAAGTCGTTTAAGGCATTTTTGTAAAAAGTATTCTTTACAGTAGTAATAAGTGCAAATACTAATATGCAGATAATGGTCGTAAGAACTAGTGCAATTGCGCCCACCGTTTGAGAACCACCCCATTAAAATCATTGGGATACTCACACTGTTTGCTAGAGCGGCTTGATATTCAAGTCAAACTTTATTCGCATGCTACATTTTGCGTTTTTAATTAAAGTTTGTGCATTTCCCGTATCGTCTTGTTTTTTTCTCTCATTTTATTAAATGTTAGATTATAAAATTCAATAATGCTTGTACAATGAATGCTCACTGCCACTGCCTTAATGAATATTTGAATAATTACGCGATAACAGCTTGTAAAAAAGACTACGTTTGGCAAGTTCTCGAAGGCAAAGAACAGATTCTTTTTGGTGGTATTAAGATAAAAATAAAGGGAATGAGCACTATCTCGATAATCGCGAAACTTCAGTGCGAAAATCCCAATCGTTTTTCATCTGACAACAGGATCCAAGTATGGCTTACTTCATATCTGATATAAGTCTTTCATTTTCCTTGCGCAGAACATCAACCTGCTTCCGATCCTCTTCCATTCTATTCTTTAACTGCTGCATTCTGAAATATCAGTCTTTTATACGGAGTTAAGATTTTTTAGAATTTTCAAATGAACGTTGCAAAGAATTCAATGGCTTTCTGCTGTAACTCATTACAACACTAAGGTAGAAGTGCCAAAGTAAATGCCTTAATAAGATAAATAATAATAAGATAAATAAAAAATAAGAAAAAATGCTGAAAAAAAAATTTTTTTAATGGTAAGAAATGTTCCGGCCCATTAATTCGTATACATTTCTTACCATTGCCACAGCTGGACCTCATCAGTACGACAACTGTGGTAATTAGTATGAATTTGATCAAAATTTAAATTGTTTTGTTAGAATAGATAGATAAAGTAGTAATAAGTTAAGTGGGTAATAAGTCTTTTGGATGTTTAAGTCTTTAATGTTTAAGTCTCTAGCCAATAAAAAAAAATCTGCGCAATCTGGACCAGCTGTGAAATAAAATCTGAATCGTCAAATTTCTACGAAAAAGTATTTTTCCAGAAGCTTGGATTTTCAGTGCTAAAGAAAATCTTGACAAATTAGTAATGAATTTTGACTTCTTCGACATAACGCTCAATATCTCATAGTGGCATGCAAAAACTAAGCTTTAATTTGATGGATTCAAACATTCCCGCTCGTCTAATTTTTTAGTAAAATTTTATACGTTTATACTTATAATAATTAATATTTCTATTATGCCTTCTTTATTCCTCTTGAACTTCTGAAGCTACAGCCATGAAAATTTATCATTGTTATATGGCTAAAAGCAATAGAATTTCACGCAGCAAGACTTTGTTTAAATATTTCTTAAAGATACTCTGCATTATCGAGTTCCGCTACTTCAGGCATCAAGCTGTCATAGTGATTTAGTTTCTCCATCTCGTCTTCTACATTCACCTGAAATATGTCCTAATTGAGTACTTTTTTTCGCACACTTCCAAGTTTTGACTGATTACTGAATTAAATATGGGTTTTGGGCGTAAAAATTTCAAGCAATCGTGATCAAAATGACTTAGCTTATAAAACGGCTTCTTTCCCTCAACACCGCTGAAATCGCTTGCTCTTTTGCCCACACACTGCAGCTAACAAACTGCGCAGGGCAGTCTAACTCAGAAATAACTGTTAAGCTGATAAAGGTGCGCAAACTTATTTTATACTGTCATTCGTAGTACTAAGGTTTTCATTACCAACCCTCGCCTGCACAACGCAGACATTCCAATTTGAGATGATTACTTCTTGTTTTTGTCTCCTGGTCCTTTCTACTCTTCCTGTTTCTTTTCAAAATACTGCTGTGAAATGCCAACACAAAAGTTACATGAAACGTTGGCGCAGTAGTAGCCATATGGAACTGCTCGGGAAGGAAGTGATGCTGGCCCTGTTCCGCCTGCAGTCCTTCGACCTCCTTTTGCAGCTTATCAATCTGCCCATCCTTCTCCCAGATTTGCTTGCTCAAGTCATCGATCACGTCGTTTTTCTCGTTCACCAAGCTTTCAAAACTATCCGCCCTAAACGCCTTGTAATGTTACACAGTAGAATGAGCAAGCAAAAAAAAATTTGAGTAATTTTTCATTAAGACAGGGAGTAATTCGGGTAGAATCATGACGCCAAACAGAAAAGCAACTGAAAAGTTATTCAAGCCATATTTGCGCTTTAAAATAGTACAAGTCTATTATTATAAGCGCAAAAATTTCTCTCCTCACTTTTGCACAGAAAAAAGGTAGCTGTATGTGTTCCGCTCTGCATTTGTATAGTTCTTCAGCTCATCTTTTAACACCATTTCTATTGCTTGCAGAGCCTATGCCAGGAAACAATCCTACAGGAATTCAATAACCCAGAACTCCCTATTGTATGTCACAAATTATACTTAAAAAACTTGTTTCGCTTAGTCGTCGCTGGTAAGGAGCCAGATGAACGTGTGCATTACCTGCTTATTGCTTTACAAAGCTGCTGATGCTTCTCGTCCAGAAACCTCTCTGCATCAGCCAGTCTGCTCTCCAGATTACTCACTCGCTCTCTCTTCACCTCCAGCTCATTCTTCACGTTCTCAAGCTCATTCCTGAGGGCACTGTAAGAAATTTGAAACGATACAGTTCTAGATCGGAATGCCGCAACAGTGAAGATAGATCACACGAGAATACATTTGTGATAAAAACACCTACTAATCTGGAAAATTTTCGTCTTCGTTTGAGAAAAAATGTTTCAATTGAGACGAGGGATTGGAAATTCCACTTTCTTTTTTAGAAAAAGGGTGCACAAAATGAGAAACTGGACGAAAATGCTTGTTCGCCATCCTTCGTTACTAGTATTCATCCCAAAGTCATTCTCACTGTTTTGTTTATTACTCAGTACCTCTCAGTTTTCGTTTAAGAAAGCCCCCTTCTGCGACCAGGAAATTTAGCTACTTAGATCTTCACCATCGTCATCCATTCCGTAAAAGGAATGGAGCTAACTTCCCGCTTTCGTCCCCTTCCCCCATCTGTTGGGCTATATTTGATAAAAAAAAAATAAAAGAAAAAGGGAATTAAGACATGCGGAGTAGGCAGATTCACTAGTTTAAAGCCAGATTCGCATTCCAGACAGAACATGGCGAACGCAGTACAACTATGTAAACATAATTCTCAATAGCTTACTCGAAATCAGATGGTTTAAGTGCCACTTCGCGCTCACGTTCTACTTGTTCTAGCTTATCTTCAAGAGCGCTCCTGTTGCGTCTCAAATCGTCTGCCAATGCATGTGCATCTTGCAACTGCTTTTCCAAATCCCTAGTAGCGTTTCTGCTTTCGTTCAGTTCATTTTCAAGTGAAGTGGCCCTAAATAAATCTGTTCCAAGTTATTATGCTTTCCCCAACCTTAAAAAACATGTTTCCATTTCCTGGAAAGTTCTTATTTATCGGCTGAGAAAAATTTTGAATTTGCTGGCTAAGCAAACAGTGGAACAGCTCTTTCCCTTTCCCAAACACACCTGATTGAAATTAGCTTAATTCTCTAACAGACTTAGCATGTCAGCGACAGTTTGCATTGAAGATGATAAAAGAACCAACAGTAATTTGGATTCTAAATCGTTTTTTCATACAAAACATTAAAATACATTGAAAATAATTTGTATTCTATGATGACTTGTATTAGCGCCAGAGAATTATTTTTCGCTTTGTTATTGATGCAAAAGTGTATAATTTCTTGTCAAAGTAAAAACTCATCCGCTCTCTACGACAAGTGAAGAACCCAGGCTGGAACGCAGCAGGCGAGCCGGTGCGATCATGCGTTTTTGCATCAAACTTTGAGG